CACAGGGATGACCAAGACTGCGGACAGCACAGGGATGACCAGAGACTGACCAAGCTGGACAGCACAGGGATGACCAGAGACTGCGGACAGCACAGGGATGACCCAGAGACTGCGGACAGCACAGGGATGACCAAGACTGCGGACAGCACAGGGATGACTGCTGACCTTTGGGGAGGGAGGGGGAGCGGGTACCCTGAATTTGACAGGTACCCGCTCTTACTTCCGCAGAGTTTATTTTTTTTTTTTATCTTACCTGTTCCTTTATCCAGCCGCGCGTTGTCTTTTCCCGCTTCTGTAGTGTGGGCGCCTCAGTCCCGGACATCCGGATGCCCAGTGCGCATGCGCGAGAAGCGCTGCGCTTTGTGATTGGTCCCGGCGGCTTCTGGGATCTGTCATGTGTCCCAGGTACCGCCTTAATATTAGTTTCACCTTTTAAGTTGCATGACTGAAATAAATGAACTTTTGCACAATATTCAAATTTTTCGAGTTTCACCTGTACATGCATTTCCAATTGCGAGGAACAATAGATTTGGCAGTATTCAATAAATGCTTCACCAGAGAGTGTATTGTTTAAGTGAACAATGGTTGACATGGATCAGACAGCAGCCTGGGGTGAGCTTCAGGGAGGTCCCTGTGATAGATTTAATTGTATTGCAAACTTCCATCCAGTACAGTTGGAAGTAGTGGACACTCCCACCAGATATGTAACATGGTACCTTTGTGTAGGCCACATCTCCAGCAAATATTATTATTATTATACATGACTTATATAGCGCCATCAGTTTACTCAGCGCTTTACATTATAGTGGGAGACAATACAGTTCAATACAAGAGGGATTAGAGGGCCCTGCTCCTTGGAGCTTACAATCTAGGAGGGAGGGGATAGTGGTACAAGAGGTAATTAGCTGTGGGGGATGGAGTGGTAGGAGGAATAGTTGATTCCAGTGTTAGCTGGGGTCGGTGTAGGCTTCCCTGAAGAGATGGTTTTTCAGAGTGTGCCTAAAGGTGATCAGAGTAGGCAATAGCCTGATAGCTTGGGGTAGGGAGTTCCAGAGGATGGGTGAAGCCCTTGAGAAATCCTGGAGATGACCATGAGAGGAGGAGACAAGGGAGCTAGAGAGTAGGAGGTCTTGCGAGGAGCGGAGAGTACGGTTTGGGTGGTATTTCGAGACAAGGTTGGTGATGTAATTAGGGGCAGTGTTATGAACGGCTTTATATGTCAGTGTTAGTGTTTTGAATTTTATCCGTTGGGCAATTGGGAGCCAGTGGAGGGATTGGCAGAGAGGGGTGGCAGATATAGAGCGGTTAGTAAGGTGAATGAGTCTGGCAGCAGCATTCATGATAGACTGAAGTGGGGATAGCCTGCGGTGAGGTAGGCCAGTGAGGAGGGAGTTACAGTAGTCAAGGCGTGATATAATAAGGGAGTGAATGAGTTGCTTAGTGGTTTCCGAGGTTAGGAACAGTTGTATCTTGGAGATGTTGCGGAGGTGGAGTCTACATAAGTTTGTCAGTGATTGGATCTGGGGCTGAAAGGACAGATTGGAGTCTAGGATTACACCTAGTACCCTGGCATGAGGGGTGGGGCTGATGGTAGTGTTGTTGATCTTGATGGAAAAGTCCGGGGGGGGGGGGGCACGGGCTGGGGGGAATACTAGAAGCTAAGTTTTGGAAAGGTTGAGTTTGAGGAAGTGGAGTGACATCCAGTCCGATATGTCACTTATTAGGCTGGTGATGCGATTGGAGACTGAGGGGGTGAAGTGAGGGGTAGAGAGATAGATTTGTGTGTTGTCGGCATAGAGATGGTAGTTGAAGCCGTGAGAGTTTATCAATATCAAATATTAGATGATAATGGAAACCAATGGTTCAACTTATTCGGGGTTGCATACCAATTGGTCATTAGTTTATAAGAGTTGTCCTGAAATCTAGTTCCTATTGAACATTTATAAGCCAAGATGCAAGCATTTGTCCATTGTTCATCTGTGAAGGTTGTGTTCAAACCAAGCTCCCATTCTAAAGGAAATCTGATGGTAGTGCCCACCTAAGAGTTCTGTAGCCATTTATATATTAGGGATGTTACTTTTTCTGTCATTGTGCCTTCCAGACAAGTAGATTCAAAGAGAGTCAAGGGTCTAAAATAATTAATTATTCTATAAGAAGAATGAATATAGGTGTGCAACTGGACATATCTCCAATAGGTAAAGGCAGGTGTATTTAGTTTGTTTTTCAATTGTTCAAACGCTTTACATTTACCTCCATCTAAACATTGTGCAATTACTCAATGAGGGCTAGAGTTCACAGAGGTGGCACTGGCCAGAATTTGTCTCGGGATAAAATCTGGGTTATCTATTATAGGTGTGAATGGGCCCAGACAGGAAGCTATGCCAAATATCTTAGATGCTTTTCTAAATACTGCTAGAGTGGGACCGATCAATGGATGTTGTTTCACTCTCAGTGAATTTTTTTTTTTCTGGAACCCAGGGTAGAAATCTCAAAGAAGTGGAAGTACTAAGGGCTTCTAAGTGTACCCAGTCCTTACTATCTTTCTGGCAGTTCCAATCACTCACTTTGGTTATCATTGAAGCGTAAATAGTAGTGTGAGAAATTAGGAAGGCCTATGCCTCCAGCATTTTTAGGTTTGGAAAGAAGCTGTAAATTAATTCTGGGTCTATTATGGGTGCATAATAGCATCATGTAATCCCATGTGACCCCGTCAAAGGCCTCCTCTGCATCTGACAGGAGAAGGCCTTTGGCATGGCCTCCCCCAAACATATGTATCACATTGAAGGTCTTAATCACGTTATCTCTAGCTTCTCTTCCCGGCATGAAACCAACTTGCTCAGGACCAATGAGTTGTGAGAGAAAGTCACGTAATCGGGATGCTAGGATTTTTGCTAGTAATTTTAAGACGAGATTCAACAGTGGAATGGGTCAATAGCTCAAGCACCTATAGCTCGGGTTCTTACCTGGTTTGGGTAGAATTGTAATATGGGCCATGGAGGAAGTGTCTGGCAGTTTTTTCGGATCTTTTAAAGAATTTAATGCTTTCAATAAAGGGTCCTTCAATATACCAACAAATGTTTAATAGTAATGAGCCATATAACCATCTGGACTCGGGCTTTTCCCAGATTTTAGTGATATGATGGCTAGTAAAAGTTCTTCCTCTGTAATAGGTGTTCCAGCAACTCAGAATCATTCAATTGTAATTTGGGCATATCACTCTGTGCAATGTAGTCTTTTATAATTGGAGACCTGCGTCCCAGAAAAATGAAAGGTTTATGTTGCAAGGGGAGATTATATATAATTTGGAGTAATATTTATGGAATTGCCCCGCGATCTCGTCAGTAATATTGGTTATTTTGTTATTTGAAGTTCTGATCTTAGAAATATGGGATGACATTCAAACTTCATGTAAGGCTTTAGCTAGGTGCTTCCCACTTTTATTTCCATGTTCATAAAAGAATCCTTTTTTGAAGAACAAAATGCGTTTGGAATGTAGGTTTAAGAGGTTTTGTAACTCACGATTCGTCTCTAAGAGTTCCGTCACTGTTTGAACTGCTACGGAACGTTTATGTTGGGCTTCCAATTTGGAAATTTTTGTCGTCAGGGCTAATAACATTTTTTCATTTACCTTTCTCTGCTTTGAAGCTAAATTAAATTCCCCGTGGAGCACACATTTATGGGCTTCCCAGATGGTGAAAGGCGATATATCGTCCAGAGAGTTCTCTCTGAAATAAAATCGGAGAGAGTTAGTAATTTGAGTCAAATTGGAGGGGTCCGATAGTAATGTCGGGTTCAATCTCCAGTTGCACACCCTAGGGGCTGTTTTTTGACAGTTTAATGAAATGGATGTAGGTCCATGATCAGAAATAGTTTGTACCCCAATATCTGCCTTTTCTAAAGTGCGCAATTCCCTTTTTTTTCTTATCAATACGTTTCCTTTATACTGCTTTTGAAGTTTACAAATGCAGCAATGTAGAAACTGGATGAAATGTTTAGCACTGGGAGACACTTTTTGAAAGATAACTAGTTCATTTTATATACAATTATATTGATCAGACTAAAAGGAGGGACACATGAGGAGGAAAGAGGGACATAAGGACTTTGTTCCAAATTATTGACAGTAACTCGAAATCATGGATAGTTGGGAGGTATGAAAATGTTATTATCCTGGATGTAGCAGGGAATGGTTCATGGTCTATTCACACGTAACCACTTCCAGTCCAGCCAATTCTCACACTCCTCACATACAGGTTCAAATCTGCATGGTTAGTTGTTTTCTACAGACCCCCCTTACTTGCATAGGAAGTCTTTGATAAACAAACCCCTTAAGCATTCTGTTACAGCTCTTGTTACAGCATGAGTAAACTGCCAGCACGCTACAATGGATGAGAATGTATGTGAAGCTTTTTTGCTAAGGCAATGCACCACCACAATATTTGCATTGTGTTGCCCTGTTATGGTCTGTTGTACAATTATTAGAGGTGACTGTCACAACAAATGGCAACATACAGGTGAAATTAGCCCCTGAAACCCCTGTGAGGTTCTGCCCCCCCCCATCTCTGTGTCCCATTGAGGAAATCTTCCTTTCATTTCCTGACCTACGGAGACAACAGGAAGGAAATCTCACCAAACTGGGGGAAAACCCCTCTTAGACAGCTGTCCCCACACCAGGTGTCCTAATTGAAAAATGTTCCCTCTGTTGCTCTTTCGGTGAGAACAGCAGTTTTGATATTGCACACTGTCAGTGCCTTCTGAACCCCTCATTTCTTGATATAGTGTGTTATCTTCCCCTACAGAGTTGGTGGGGTATCTTCCAGTACGGAGGTGATGGCTATCTTGCCCTGCAGAGGCAGCAGGGCTATCTTGACCTTCGGAGGCGGCAAAGCCATCTTGCCTACAGCGTCCAGTTAGACCCTTGCTTTTATTCCTGTTCACACTAGAGCTGTTGCAGTGTTTGTATTTTTATTATGATGTCTTTCATATTCTAGAGTTCATGAGCAATGGATGGCAGTGATGATGACGATGTCCCGGAACTCTCTGCGCACACTTTAGCAGCTTTGCAGGAGTTTTATGCTGAGCAGGAGCAGCAAGAATCTTTGAAGTCTGGACCTGACTATGACCAGTTCTCAGTTGGGGCAGTTGAAGAAGACTGGGTAAGAGAAGTCCCTTGTTTTTCTGCCTTTACAGGATAGTATGATTTATACATAACCTGAATAGACTATTGACGTGGAGATCTCTTTTTATATGGCACTCTTTGTGGGCAGTGTAGGAAGAGTTTTTCATTTCACCTCTTGGCCCATTCATCATCTTCCTGCTGCAGTGGACAGTAAAGCAAAATATGAATGCCTGTGTTGACCTCTGTGTCCATAGCTCCAAGCAGGTTGGTAGGGGGAAGGCCTCTGGAGGACCAGAATACACCTGGTTTTATAAATAGGACTGCAGATTTAAAGCTGAACTCTGGGTAAAATTTTTATCCGTACTGTAAAGATCAGTTGCGAACGTTAACAAAATATCATCCTTTTTTTGCGATTAGAGCAGCAGCCACTGATCAATCCTCTGTTGGAGCATTTCCAGGGCTCACTGTTCCTAGTATTCTTTATGGAAGACAGGTGGCTACTGTGCCTACTCATGTAACTTCCCCATTGTAGTTTTCTTTTCTAATGCTGGCACCATTACCTCTCCACTCGTAGTTGAAGGACCTGAGCATCTCAAAATCTCAGTCTCTCCCATCCAGTCTTACTGCCTAATTTGACTGACAGGACAGAAGACTCCTGGTCTGTCCAGCCTACGATGACAGAACACACTGTGATTGACAGGCCAGGAGACTCCTGGTCTTATGACCTATCCACATCTGCTTAATGCTGCTCCACTGAATACTGGAAAGTGTTAATAATAAATCATAACTTAAAGATGAATTCCAGGTTTGGCATTTTTACATTGTTAAACTGGTCTAGCCTGGAACAATGTAAGTATGTATGTGCTACACCCGTGGGATCCCCCTGGAAGCTGGAAATTACTGTAGAAGGTAATAGTGAATGCTGCTAGCTTCTAGGTTCTGTGCTGAGCTGATGTCATGCTGCATTGTGAACACTGGCGGTTGCTCACTCAGTATGAACACCATTCAGAGAACACCGTTTATTTTTTTTCACTGAATGCAAAGCAATCTTGAATGAGATGGAGATGCAGGGATGGTGACATCGCTATCTCCACCTCATCCAGTTAGACAACACTTCACATTCATTGAGAAAACACAGTGTTCTCTGAATGCTCCTAGATTGTAAGCTCCAAGGAGCAGGGCCCTCCTATCCCTCTTGTATTGAACTGTATTGTTGCTGTATTGTCTCCCGTTATATTGTAAAGTTCTGAGCAAACTGTTGGCGCTATATAAATCCTGTATAATAATAATAGTGCCGGGCGGTCAATCTCCTGCAATCTTTAAGCAACAGGGCAGCCAATCGGCACATGACCCAGAAGTTAGCAGCAATCACCGTAGCACTGGTGAATACTACAGTGACTTCCAACTTCCATGGGGATTAGTTGGGTATGGCACATACATACTTTTAATGGTCTAAGCTGGACCAATGTAACTATGTAAAGATTGCCATACTTAAACTTTAGCTTTTAATGCCCCTTTCAGCTCTAGTTTGTGGAGGTTAAACAAAGATCATATTTCTTTCACTTTAAATGGGTTTCCAGCAGATGAAGCTTGTTTAATGTGATGGCTCTCCATTAAAATTTAAATTTATCTTTCCAAAACTGGAGCTCAGGGTTGTCTTAAGGGCTCATTCACATAGGCACAGTGGGCCATGCACTGTAAAAATCTAACATATTTCTGCACCTGGGAGTCACATTTTGTGCTTACAGCCCTCTGTACAAATCAATGACTGCAGCTGAACGCTGATAACCACAATCCGTTCCAGTTGTTTACATGCTTGCAATGATGAATGTGCACCCCAGGACGCACACATTTAATTGCTCTTAGACACGCTAAATACAGTATGCACAAGGCCTTACAGTGATGAAAATAAAACTTCTGATAGGACCTCCATGGAAGCTGTGCATCACTTAAGTTGTTTGTTTCATTTCCTTAACAGCAGTTAAGTCAGTTTTGGTATGACAATGAAACTGCACTGTGTCTTGCCAAAGAAGCATTGGAAGCCTCTGGTGAAAATAGAAGGTATGCCATTTCCTACAAGTCAAGGTGTTTCTTGGAAAGCATTATTTATAATGTTATTAAAATGATTTTATTAACCTCGCTAGTTACTTTATTAAATTTTGTTACCTGAAGTAGAACTCCAGGCCAATGAAACATACACTATATTGCCAAAAGTATTGGGACGCCTGCGTTTACACGTACAGGAACTTTAATGGCATCCCAGTATTAGTCTGTAGGGTTCAATGGGAATGATTGACCATTCTTCCAGAAGTGCATTTGTGAGGTCAGGCACTGATGTCAGCTAAGAAGGCCTGGCTCGCAGTCTCCGCTTTAATTCATCCCAAAGGTGTTCTATCAGGTTGAGGTTAGGACTCTGTACAAGCCAGTTCCTCCACCCCAAACTAACTCATCCGAGTCTTTATGGACCTTGCTTTGTGCACTGGTGTGCAGTTATGTTGGAACAGGAAGGGGCCATCCCCAAACTGTTCCCAGAAAGTTGGGAGCATGAAATTGTCCAAAATGTCTTGGTACGCTGACACCTTAAGAGTTCCCTTCACTGGAACTAAGGGGCCAAGCCTAACCCCTGAAAAACAACCCCACTTCATAATCCCCCCTCCACCAATCTTTACACTTGGCACAATGCAGTCAGGCAACTACAATTCTCCTGGCAACCGCGTCATGTCCATCAGATTGCCAGACAGAGAAGCGTGATTCGTCACTCCAGAGAACACCTCTCCACTGCTCTGGAGTCCAGTGGTGGCATGCTTTACACCACTGCATCGACACTTTGCAATACACATGGTGATGTAAGGTGTGGATGCAGCTCGGTTCTCGGTTATGGAAACTCATTCCATGGAGCTCTCTATGCACTGTTGTTGTGCTAATCTGAAGGCCAAACAAAGTTTGGGGGTCTTTAGCTGTTGACTCTGCAGACAGTTAGTGACTACTGCGCACTGTGCGCTTCAGCGTGTGCTGACCCCGCTCTGTCATTTTTCGTGGCTGAGTTGCTGTTGTTCCCAGCTACTTCCACTTTACCTCTAACAGTTGACTGTGGAATATTTAGTAGCAAGGAAATTTCACTGATGTACTTATTGCACAGATGGCAAACTATCACGGTACCACGCATGAATTCATTGAGCTCCTGGGAGAAACCCATTCCTTCACAAATGTTTGTAGAAGCAGTCTGCATGCTGCCGGTGCTTGATTTTATATACCTGTGGCAGCCATGGAGGTGATTGGAACACCTGAATCCAATGATTTGGAATGGTGTCCCAATCCTTTTGGCAATATAGTGTACATACACTCACTGGCCACTTTATTAAATACACCTTGCTAGTACCCGGGTTGGACCCCTTTTGCCTTCAGAACTGCCTTAATTCTTTGTGGCATAGGTTCAACAAGGTATTGGAAACATTCCTTAAGAGATTTTGATCCATATTGATATGATAGTATCGCGCGCAGTTGCTGCAGATTTGTGGGCTGCACATCCATGATGTAAATCTCCCATTCCACCACATACCAAAGGTTGTCTATTGTATTGAGATCTGGAGACTGTGGAGGCCATTGGAGTACAGTGAACTCATTGTCATGTTCAACAAACCAGTTTGAGATGATTTGAGTTGTGACATGGTGCATTATCCTGCTGGAAGTAGCCATCAAAAGATGGGTACACTGTAGTCATAAAGGGATGGACATGGTCATCCACAATACTTTCATAGACCATGGCATTTAAACAATGCTCATTTGGTACTAAGGGGCACAAAGTGTGGCAAGAAAATATCCCCCACACATCACACCACCACCAGCCTGAACCGTTGACACAAGGCAGGATGGATCCATGCTTTCATGTTATTTATGCCAAATTCTGACCCTATCATCTGAATGTCACAGCTGAAAGCGATTTTTGTGAGCCTGTGCGAATGGTAGCCTCCGTTTCCTGTTCTTAGCTGACAGGAGTGGCACCCGGTGTGGTCTTATGCTGCTGTAGTCCATCTACTTTAAGGTTCGATGTGTTGTGCGTTCAGAGGTGGTATTCTGCATACCTTGGTTGTAACGAGTGGTTATTTGAGTTACTGTTGCCTTTCTATCATCTCGAACCAGTCAGCCCATTCTTCTCTGACCACTGACATCAACAAGGCATTTACTTCCACACAACAGCCTCTCACTGGATATTTTCTACTTTTCGGACCATTCTCTGTAAACCTTAGAGATGGTTGTGCATGAAAATCCCAGTAGATCAGCAGGTTTTGAAATACCAGTCCATCTGGCACCAACAACCATGCCATGTTCAAAGTCACTTAAATCCCCCTTTCTTCCTCATTCTGATGCTCGGTTTGAACTTCAGCAAGTCATCTTCACCACGCCTAGATGCCTAAATGCAATGACTTGCTGCCATGTGATTGGCTGATTAGCAATTTGTGTTATCAAGCAGTTGAACATTTGTACCTAATAAAATGGCCGGTGAGTGTATATGTACATTCATCTGCAGGTAAAACTGTTGACAGTTTGTGCAAACTTTTTTCCTGTGATACACACCTCTGCCATACTGCATAGCAAGAGTGTTCAGTTTAGTGTTTCCAGTTTAGGTTTCAACCTCCTGCTTATTGGACAGAGCTGATGATTCTGTTTCTTTGTCCAATCATTTGCTGGAGAGAGGTAGTTTGAGAAGACATAATGAACAAGAAAATAGATTTGTCACCTGCATTATGGCAATCTTATTCTCAGCTAATGAACTTGGCATATATGTTTTCAAGTATGTATTCAGCTGTTTGCTTTCAAGTGTTACTAAACCCACAACAGTAAAATCAGTCTGTATATGCAGGAAAGCATGATTGTTATACTCACTGTGGAACCTAAGGGGTTAATCCTCTGCGTAGTTTAATGATCCTGACTTCTCTGATCCTCCCCTTCTTCCAGTGTCCCCCTCTTATCTCCTGGTGATAAGACATATCGTGGAGACACTCTGCACATGCTCAGTTTGGTGTGTATTGCTAGAGAGGTTTTTTTTTTTTTTTGGGAGAGTGCATGTGATCAGCACAGGGCCAATCAGCACTATCCAGGCAAAGGTCAGGGGTTCTACATCCTCCTAGAGCAGAAAAAAAACTCCTACAAGCTTTAACCAGTGCTCTGCTGGGCACTGATAGAAGTCACAAGACTGCTCTAACTGCTGATGAGAAAAGGTATGTAGCAGTTTATATTTACTAAAATAATTGCATTTTCATGCTCTGTGTACTGTGGGAGACCAGAGAGCGTGAATGCAGGGTCCTGGGTTTAGTAACACTTTATGTTTTAATTTAAGTACATGATACAGGTCTTCATAATTAAAATCAGTCGCAATTATACTCAAATCTCAGTAAAAGCACTGATGATCAGTGTACTATTGGATCCTTTCTAATACTGCTTCTAATGCAGTATGGGGGTTATAAAAAACCTAATTGGCTCTTTTTTCTGTCATGAGGCCTGTTGTCATTTCCTTGCACTAAAGATTTATTACCTGTTTGTATTTAAAGTGATTGTCAACCTCAGACATGAATAATGAATAAAACATATCCCTCTGCCCTCTGTAGTGGGTACTTGTCTAAAGTAGGAGCACTAAGTGTCATTTCTGTCCGCTGCTTCGTTCTTCTGTTTTCAGCACTTGTCACTTCTGACAAGTTTTCCTGACACCAAGAGAAAAATGTTGACAGGGGAGGGACCTCCAGCAGATTGACAGCCTCAGCTATATTCCTGTGTGCTGTGCAAAAGAGGGCAGGTTCCTTCCCTCCAATCAGAGCTCTCCTCACTGATGTAACTTTAGCTCTCCACTCCCTGCTTTTCAGAGCTGAGAGGTCCTGTGTAGATTCTGTGTAGATGTAGGGGAAAGATAGCAGTAGATAAACGGGTACAACATATGTAGGAGGGTTTGTTTCATCTCTGTGTATCACCTGAGGCTAATCACTTCGCTGAGTATATGTGAGGGTTTACAAACACTTTAATCAAATGTTGTATTGGCTGTCATGTTCCATTTGTTGATCATATTCCTCTAGTGACTCCTGCCATTGTTTTCCTGCTTTCCAGGATCGCCTGTATCAGTGCTCCCAGCATTTACCAGAAACTTAAAGGACTGGCTGGAGATGACGTATCCATCTGTTTGCTGGAATATGATAAAAGGTTCTCAGTCTATGGTGATGATTTCATCTTGTATGACTACAATAATCCATTGGACCTACCAGACAAGCTGCAGCCACATAGCTGTGATATAGTATTAGCAGATCCACCATACCTCTCTGAAGAGTGCTTAACTAAGACTGCTGAGACTATCCAGTACCTGACTAAGGAGAAGATCTTACTGTGCACAGGTATGATATAACCCTGAGAATGCTGTAATTTTGTCACTTATCGGTTTGTAGTGTGTGTATGGATCTCATGACATACTGCAAAATGCTCAAGTTTTGCTTGATTTTAGAAGTTTGGCCCTAAATACAGGGACCTTGATTCATTTCTTCTCAAGCAAAGTATGAACCCAAAAATGATCAAAGTTGATTCAAAGCTACAAATAGATCAGTAACTTGTGTTCACTGATCTCCCTGTTTGTATCCTGCATATAAAAGTTGCCAATGAAATAAGGAAGAAGCCTCATTACTGCAAGGAAATAAGAGGGAGGGGGGTTGGACTGCGTGCATGCTCTCATTTTGTAGAAGTAATTAGGTGGCCTTGCAGCCAAAGACATTACTTCCACTGACAGTGCAGAAGCTTCCCAAAGTGTATGTTGCCCCAACATTTCATATTTCTGATGTGTGTCTGTGGTACCATGTATTTGTATTAAACTATCCTATTTTCTTTGTATATTTTCCTTTTTGTAAAATACCTGGGATTTCTTCCAGGCCCTCTGTTTTCCGATTTCAAACTGAACACACTAGGCATGAGAGCATGTCCATCCTAGAGTGGTCAGTTTTCTGGCTGTGCTGTCCTCCAATGGTCAGACTTGTGCTGACACAATCCCCTGTACAGCTATTTACTGGGAAGATCAGTGTACTTGCTATATTATAAACTATATTATCAAATTCCCCAAATACATTCCAGTTCTGTCAAAACAAAAGATGCTCAAGGTCTTATGCTTTGTTTTTCTAGAAAGCCACTGAACCTGAGTAAAGAAAGGAGCCTTGCTCTCTGTGTGAAAGCAGCGATCTCTCTGTAGAGATCCAACCCCCCTCTCCAATCAGTTACACTTTTAGCACTGCAGTCAGCAAAGGTCACCCTTCCTGCTGATTGGAGTGCTCTATTGAGCTTTAAAGGCATTTTATGATGAGATAAAGACACTGCAACATAGGAAAGAAGGCACATACCACGTGTTGCAGACATAGTTACTTTACTGTACTAATCTTACTTTATAACATTGTTACCCTTTTGTGTTTCAGGTGCTGTCATGGAGGATTTAGTGACAAAAATACTTGGCTTGAAGGTGTGTAAATTTATCCCCAGACACACACGGTCACTAGCCAATGAGTTCAGATGTTATTCCAACTATGAGACAGGACTGGACTCCTAGTTGACCTGGCTGTTTAAATCCAGCAACAGCTTGAGGCCTAGACAGCATTGACACTCACCTGGTGTTTTCATAAACTCTCCCTCGCCGCTAAACTACAGAGGAAATGTTTAGTCTCTTTTAACCAAGTAATATGACCAGTTATATCACACACCAGGGGTGGTTGGATCACAGATTGTGTATTACTTTACAGATCATTTCAAAAAAGAAAATGTGTTCCTATGTATTTGAACTACATTTTTGACTTGGAGGACATTTAAAGCCAAGCTTTTGGTTGCATGTGAAAATTCATTTCCAAATGCTTCCTCTGCCAATATATGAAGCTGGTATATAAAAAACAGTAGAAGGGAATTTTCTTTACTGCCCAGAACAACCATGGAGAAGTTGGTCCACATTGTTTATCCTGGAAGAATGACAGCTGGGAATTGGTTTCTATGTAGTTTCTATTCCTGTAATTTCTGTAGTTATTTTCTGCATTCATTGTAAGGGGAACTGAGAGTAATGCTCATACTATACTCTATAGTTTTGTTCATTCCCTTCAACAAAATGGTGGCCATCTACACACAGACACTGACTCCTTGTTGCATAAATGTAATGAGGTGGGTAAAAGATGGCTTCAGCTCCTGTTCTCCACCTGAAGAGAACTCTGCAGATGCGTTTCACCCTTTTTGGGCCCTAATCATAGAGGCCTCTACAATTAAGCCCCAAAAAGGGCGAAACATAGTTTTACCCATCTCATTACATTTATGTGACAGGGTGTCGGTGTCTGTGTCACCATTTTGTTGAAGTCTACTAGAACCTGATGAGCTGATTCAGTCTGGTTTGCACCAGTCTATCCACACGCTGATACGACTGACACAGGTTTGCAAGGGCAATTGAGCAGTACTATTTTATTCTTTTGGGCTACATTTGTTCATTCCCTCTTAGACTAGGTTCACACCTATGCAGTTTGCTGTTGATTTGTTTTCCTGGTGCATTTTGCAGTGCTGTTTGTGTTTTTAATGCATTTTTTGTGTTGCTCGGGGGAGCCATCTGTTGTAATTTTTTATGCATTGCCATTGAAGGTTATAGAACCAAAAAAGACCCTTTCCAAAAAAAAAAAACGCATAGGTTGAAAATGATGATAATGTAAACATGGCCCATAAGAAATCATATTAAATGGACTGTACATTTCTGTAAATTTGAAAACTCACTGAAAAATGCATAGGTGTGTACCTAGCCATAGATTGTGGTTTGAAACATATGTACTTTTAAGATCCACCTTGAAACGACACTTGTCACTCTCAGTGTGATTAGTCTCATACCTGATGATGTAAAAAAAAAAATAAATGTCAGAACTTAGTACTTAATGTTGTATAGTCTGTGGTGATTTTGTGAACTGTAATTAGAAATGATTTGACCACATTTCGACCTCTTATTGACATTCTATTCTACAACCACAAATGATCTGTCACTTTCTGACCAATAGTCAAACGGATACAAAGATCACAGCTTCTTGGAGAGGAAAACAGGTTTTAAGCAAAAAACAAAAAAAAACCCAAACCATCCTAGGCGCACAAATAATCAGATATCTAGCAGTGTAACAGAGGTCATTGACCTCCATGGAGCCCCAGCAACCTAGAAAAAAAAAAGTGGCCTCCAATATTTTCTGGAAAATATATACATTTCTTAGCTCTGGGTCTTGGATGATTTTCAGTGAAATCTTTTGTTAGAATTAAGCTGGCCATAAATGCCTCTCAGATGAGGATGAGGTTGTTTAGGACTCCCCTGGTGATACCATTAGGGCTTTTCTGTCGCTATTTTTGCATGCACAAAAGAAGTTCTCCCTACAAAGGAAACACATAATACTTACCTATCCTATTGCCTGCTCTGTCGAACTCTGCTTTGAAGATTCCTGAACAATCTTCTACATTTGATATTTCCAGGAGTGTCTGATCCTGGAGTCTCTTGCTTTGTTTTTTGGTTCCATCTCCCAGTCTCACCATAACTACAGGGCATATTAGTGACATAGGGACTGGCTGAAAGAGCCATAGATTGCATTGGAGAACCAGGCATCTGACACACCAGAGGTGTTGAATATAAATCTTCTGAAGCAGGGAGGTCTGGCAGTGCGGCAGGTTATTATTTATTTTTTGGTTTACAGAGAAAATCTCTTTATTAATAATAAAAGATCATAGTTCAATCTCATTCAACCTATGCTCCCGCACAGCTAATGTCAATGTTGTCGGTACATAGTAGGACTTAGCACAGATCATTTTTACATCAGTGCTAGGAAATGCAACTATCAATATCATTTAATCATATGGTACATTAAACGTCTGGAATTACCACAGTATATCTGTATATTCATGGTTATATAGTTTGCAAGGTTGAAAAAAGACACAGGACCAGCCAATTCAACCTTTGTGTGTGTGTATGCATGTGTGATATTCACAGTTCTTCATAGTATATGAGCAAATATGTCCCTCAGGGCAACTCCATTGCAGGAGGATATACAAGCTCTGCCATCTGTGTCCTATAGGGGGTATTTACCTTCATTTCCTATCCTATAGCCAAGACAGGAAGTGAGAGAAAAACTCTTCAAAGTGAGGAAATCCCTGGTTGTCACCAGACCTAGTGTCCCCCATAGGAAGATATCCCCTTTTCCTTTTCTGAGGACAATGACAACCGTAAACATGACAAAAAGACAGGGTAAATCTTTACCAACAGGGCCACAGTCAGCAATAAAAACCTGACAGGTGTTCTAATCCTTCTCTACTCTATCCAAAACTAAAAAAAGATTTGCCTTTAGTTAATACTTTCATTGCTGAAATACAATTTATAAAATTTAATAGGGGACACGTGTATGTTTCTGTAACTTAGTTGTCCTAAGTGGCAGATGACATCTGCATTTGTCCCTATACTTTAAAAATTCACTGAAGTCTCTTTGGGAAGCTGTGCCCACCAAAAAGGTAGGCATGTGGTATAGGACTAGCTGCCTGTGGTCACCCTACTGAAGATCATTCTCCCATTACTGACTTGCATAGCAGTGTATACGGTATGTAGCCGAGGCTAAAAGTAGTTTATACAGCACCCCTGCAACTGTTTGCGAAGTAAATAGTTTTTGTTTGGACCAGCTTGGTTCAAATGAACAATTTAAAGTTAAAGTGTTACTAAACCCACAACGGTAAAGTCAGTCTGTATATGCAGCAAAGCATGCTTGTTATATTCACTGTGGAACCTAAGGGGTGAATCCTCTGCATTGTGTAAAAAGGATGTTTGAGCCTGTCTTCTCTGATCCTCCCCTTCTTCCAGTGTCTCACTATTATATCCCCTGATAAGTCATATCCTGTTGAGACACTCTGCACATGCTCAGTTTGGTGTGTATTTCTAGAGAGGTTTTTTTTTTGGTTTTTTTTTTCTTGGAGAGTGCCAATCAGCACTGCCCAGACAGAGGTCAGGGGTTCTACATCCTCCTAGAGAAAACTACTCCTACAAGCATTAACCAGTGCTCTGCTGAACACTGATAGAAGTCACAAGACTGCTCTAAGTGCTGATGAGAAAAGGTATTTAGCAGTTTTATATTTACACAAATAACTGCATTTCCATGTTCTTTGTACTGGAGACCAGATATAGTGAATGCACGGTCCTGGGTTTAGTAATACTTTAAATGAAACCTGGAGGTTATCTTTAAAAATACTGAGAATATAGAGATTTCTTCATTTTGGTAATTCCAGATGTTTACTCTGAATGGTTTTCCAAGTTTCAATTCTTAGCACTGATATAGCAGGATTTTTGTCTTAAGGAAGATTGGCTTCTCACCTTATATCAATAATACATATGTGCATTTTTATACTAGAAATGTTTTCCCCTATACCTTTCCTTCTTGATTATTGGTATTCATATCAGAGATGGGAGTCCATCACTGTAATTGGTTTAGCTTTCTATGCTGATTAAGGGGAACGCATATTTGCCTATAGGAAGTCAATGCTCATACAAAATGTCTAGTAAAAATAACAGAATAATACTTAAATTAAGGTATTTAATTTTAAAAGGAAATAATTTTATAACCTTGCTAAATATAAAGGAATATTGGAATGCTTCATATATAGTTTTCAGGCACATTTGATAAGAGTCATTGCACCTTCCGTTTCTTTTGTATCTTCTGCATGTCCATGTGTGCCAGTATGTACAATCTGTAGCCAATTGCAGCCAGCAGAGTAATTCACCTCGGTCATCACCTGACATAAACTACAGCAGGGCAAAGGCTAGTGTGCAATGCACACATTTCTATGAATCCAGGCCCCAAGATGTTGGTTTTAGTGACGTGTAGGATGTCTCATTTTGTCTTTAATTTGCATTCAACATATTTTTCCAATTTCTCCTGGATTGGCAGTATTAACCTTCCATATCCTCGAGTTCATGGGCAATAGAAATGATGCTGTTGCCGATAATACCTACATTATCTGTCTCTGGTTACCCCAGAGTGAAATATAAACCCTGTTTAGTTAATATGGGGAGCAGTATCGCTGGTTTTTCCCACATCTGGTTGATGTAGCTGTCCTGGTTGAGGCACAAAAGAGTTCTAGACCATGTTCTGATGAACCACCACAAATTAAAGAACAGTTGATGAACCATCCAATAGCAAAACTATAAGGTGGGCAGCTGCTGCCTTAGTAGTCATTGGTGTAGGAGAGATTTCCTCTTCATTCACTGCAGCCCTACTAAAAAGATGGTCCCTTTAAGACTGTAATATGGTACCCAATTATGTCCAGCATAAGTATGTTACTCCACTCCAGTTGTATTTACTCCACTGGGGTCACCTAAAGTGAATGTTCCTCATATCTCTACAGAAAAAACTCTGTTTGATGGAAATACTAATAGACTACACAGAGACATCATTCCGTTTTATGTCCTGCTTGACATGTCATCTCCACATTCAGTTGGATGATGGTTTCTCATTTTTACTTATGTTGACTTTGAACTTTTCTTTCTCTAGGCTTGAATTCACACTATCTGCTTCAGCCTCCTTCTCTAATTCTGGCACACAGGTGCAGCCCACTGGAATAGTAATGTAGTCTTCAACGTAGACATACCGACCACCTGTGCATGAAGTTGTACGTTGGAGTATGACAGTGGGCATGTAAACGGGTGTACTGCGGAAGTTGAAGTCCTCTTCACCCAAGGGGCCTGTCAGACAACCTTTACACAGACAGTATGCTTCTGGGATATACTTAGGGTATCTTGTAGGGTTATATGTAATTCTAGGAGTTGAAAACAAATATTCTTAATACTGTGACACATCAAATGATGTTCCTGATTACTATACCTATGATCAACATATATGTTAGTTTCTAATTCTGCTGTACTTACTATTCATTGTTCTGATCGAGCACAGGGTGTGCAGCTGCCCAAAGAGAACTGGAATGACACACATTATACAGTCGTGGCCAAAAATATTGGCATCTCTACATTTCTGTCAGATAATGCACCACTTCACCCAGAGAATTGTTGCAATTACAAATGTTTAGGCATTCTCGTGTTTATTTCTTTTGTTTGTATTGGTAGGACAAACAAAAGTGGAGAGACAAAAAGCCAAATCTTACAATGACTGTATGTGGCCTATGTAGATCCACTGTGGGCTTCAATTTTGTTTAGCCATTTATGTATTTTTATTAGAAAGGGGAAAAACATATAGTTAAGAGTAAGCTAAAGTTAATGCCTAAATTCAGAATAGAGCAATTAAATGGCCAAAAACTGATTGGTTAGTATTTCAGTATTTGAATTAAAGCTGAACATCAGGCAGGTATTATAAAACATCTATTAATGCAAGTATATACGTATTTAGTTAAAAAAGGTAAGCAAATTTATATTTAGATGCAACTAATGTTAGTACCTTAGTATGCTTTAGTACCAGTCTTTTATTATCCTTTGAACGGAAGAACTGATAAGAAACATGACAGGACAGAGGAATAATCTCATTCACCTTCTGCTGTTCTTTCACTGACTAATCACAGGCAATGGGCAGGGAGGTGAGTGGATCCTTACTTTACTTAAAGTGGTTGTAAACCTCAGACATGAAATATGATCAAAGCATAACCCTCTATAGTGTGTACTTGTCTCAATTAAGAGCACTAAGTGTTATTTATGTCTGCTGCTTTGTTCCTCTGCTATCAGCATGATTCCTGACACCAAGAGAAAAATAGTGACAGGGAGGGACCTCTTAGCTCTGGAAATGTGAGCTGTGTGGAGGGGGGTGTGTCACTTCCCTCCAATCAGCACTCAGAGCTCTCCTCACTGGTTGTAACTTCAGCTCCCGCCCCCTGCTTTTCATAGCTGAGAGATCTTGTTTTAATTCTGCACTTTAATGGATGTAGGGGAAAGATGGCGGTAGATAAACAGGTACAACTTATGTAGGAGGATTTGTTTCATCTCTGTATCACCTTATGCCAGTCACTTCACTGGTTTTGTGTAAGAGTTTACAACCACTCTAACTTTGAAAAGTAATTTCTTTCACCTAGCCTGCTTCCTGGTAAGACTCAGGGCTGGATCCTTGCAAAGAGAAAAGCTGCCACATACTATATGTATTTCAGCTGTATATTTAGGCATTTGCCTGGGATTCAGCTTTAAAGAGTCATTTAAAAAAACCTTGCAGTTTCCATTGACTGCATTTAAAGGGAATCCATCACATTGGTGGTGGTGCAAAACCAGCTGAAACAAGTCCAGTTATAGTGTGCTTAATCCAAGCCCTCAGAACTGAAATAAGGACAGCTGCAGTTACTGACTTGTTTTTGAAGGTGCAAGATCCAGGACTATCATTCTTGTTGTCGCTTAAAGGGGAAGTACAGCCAAAGCTGTTTTGGCTGTACTTCTCCTGTGGATTACAGGAATGCAGTTCATTCTGCACTCCTGTGACCCCTTTTCTGCTGACAGCGGCCTGAAGCCTGCTGTTGGCTGATGTCACTCAGTCGATCCAGGCTGGGGAAAGATCCCAACTTTAGATCTAGACTGGCTCAGCCTCTCATCGAGCCGCTGAAAGCCTGAGCCCGCCGCTCCCTACCCCTCTACAGCTCAGTGCTCCAGTGAGTACTGTGGGGGGGCAGGGCAGACAACAGTGACTGACAGAGCGGCTGTGAAAACTCTGCGATTAGCGGTCAAGTGATCACTGAGTTCTCGCACTTGTGCTAGGTTCACACCAAAGCGTTTTCTGCAGCGTTTTGCAGAAACGCACTACAGTCCATTTAACATGATTTCCTATGGGACACATTCACATCTCTGCGTTTTCACCCAGTGCATTTTTGGAAAGGGTCAGGGACTTTTTTGAACGCAAAAAGTTGTGTTTTTGGTTCTATAAACTTCAATGGAAATGCTGCAGAAAAACAGGTAGTGCATTTTTGCCGCATTTTTATGCATTTTAAGTCTGCCTAGCAACAAGAAAAAAAAAGCGTCAAAAACGCAACAGAAAACGCACTGCAGAAACGGATCAAACGCAAACTGCATAGGGGTGAACCTAGCCTTAGAGCTGGTGGGGGACAGATGCAGCATCAGACCTATGCCGCATCCACATAAGTAAGTATAACTGGGGGGAAAAAAGAAAGCCTTGTCTTTTAACAGGTGACAAAGTCATTGACCTGGAACAAACATGAAAGTATCAGGAGTCTTCACACATGATATGAACATTTTTGTGCCAAATAATTAAACAGGTAGTGAGGAAAGGGTGAGAATGTTAGCCATGAACCTTGCACCTTCAAAATCAAGTCAGCAATAACAGCTTCCATATTACTGTTCTGATGAAATGGTGGTGGGCTTGGTAGACATAGAAGGCCTCAAGTGTGGCCCCTATATTCATCAAATTGCCTTATATGTAATTCACTGTATAGTGTCACGTGAAACATTAACTACAACCCATGGAAATTGTTGACTTTCTTAACCAATCTGAACAGGTAAGCACTTTAAATCTTTATTCAAATAGAGCCTACAGATAAAGGTGATATGCTTGAAATAAACAAAATAAATATTTGCCTTTTCAATTATTTATTTAAGAAAAATATCAATTTGTGTATTGTGGGAAAAAGTACACTCTTCAGCATCAACCCCAAAAAATTCTTCAAATATATTAATAGTAAAAAGGTCCGGTCCGAGCATGTAGGCCCTTTACAAAATAATCTAGAGTGGGTGACTGGGGACAAAGAGAAGGTACATTTATTAAATACCTTCTTCAGCCACAGATGATCCACATTGGCTCACAATTAATATGATCCAAAAATAACAGAATAGGTAAAGGGAAATAAAGCACCTGGGCCGGATGGCATACACTCACGGGTCCTAAGAATTGAGCTCTGTCATTTCAAAGCCATTGTTTCTAATTTTTAGGGACTCTTTACTGACTGGCATAGTACCACTGGATTGGCGTAAGGCCAATGTGGTGCCAATATTTAAAAAGGGGTCAAAATCTTTACCAAGTAATTATAGACCTGTTAGTTTAACTTCTATAGTTGGGAAGATATTGGAGAGTTTAATAAAAGACCACACAGATGAGTTCTTGCTGGAAAAAAAATATTTTAAGCAACAGACAGCATGGATTCATGAAAGACAGAAGTTGTCAAGCAAATCTGATTTCTTTTTATGAGGAGGTGAGCAAAACCTTGGACAGAGGGGTGGCGGTGGACGTGGTATACTTGGATTTTGCAAAAGCGTTTGACACAGTTCCCCACACACGGTTAATGTGTAAGATAAAGTCTACTGGCTTGGAAAAATCTGTATGTAAATGGATAGAAAACTGGCTAAAAGATCGTATTCAGAGAGTAGCGGTTAATGATTCATACTCTGAATGGTCTAGGGTTGTCAGTGGTGTACCCCAAGGTTCAGTGTTGGGACCCTTACTTTTTAATATATTTATGAACGATATAGGGTCTGGGATTAAAAATACCATTTCAGTCTTTGCAGATGACACCAAGCCAGGGCGGGACTGACAACTCATGGTGCCCCTGGGCATTAGGGGATCATGGGGCCCCTGTGTCCTTGCACAAACTCAAAAAAGCCTATGAAAAAGGTACCAGGGGCATCTCATGGGGCCCCCTACTGACCCCAGGCCCTCGGGCAGTGCCCGAGTTTCCAAATGGTCAGTCCGCCCCTGCACCAAGCTGTGCAGTGGTATGACGTCCTTACAGGATGTCTCCAACTTACAAGCCAACCTCAATGCACTGTTTAATTCCAAACACGGAAAGGTTTCTTCACAGTGAGAGCTGTGAAAATGTGGAATAGACTCCCTCAAGAGTTGGTTCTGGCCAGCTCTGTGGATTGCTTTAAAAAAGGCCTGGATTGTTTCCTAGATACACAGAATATAACTGGATACTAACATTTATATGTAAAGTTGATCCAGGGAATATCCAATTGCCTCTCGGGGGATCAGGAAGGAATTTGTTCCCCTGCAGGAGCAAATTGGATCAGGCTTTGCTGGGGGGGTTTTTGCCTTCCTCTGGATCAACTGTGAGTGTAAGATTATAACTTTTTTTTGGTTGAACTGGATGGACTTTTTTCAGCCAGACTGACTATGTAACTATCAGAGGCTGATAAAGCCAGCAATGACTAATTGTAGTCATTTTGTATAACTGCTCACCAGTATTTCACATCAAAATTTTTGACCATTTCTCAATGCAAAATTCCTTCAGGTGCAAGTTTGTAAGTTTTCTTGTATGAACTGCCCATTTTTCAAAATACCTCTACAACATTCCAATGGGAGTTCAACCAAGGCTTTGACAAGGCCAGTCCATAACACTATTTCTTCATTCTAGTGGATTTGCTAGTATGCTTCCAATCACTATCGTATAGAAAGACCCATTTCCAGTTCAATTTGAATTTTTGCACAGATGGTCTCAAATTTCCTTTAAACATATTTTGATACGGTCCTTATTACAGAAATGTCACTCCTTGGTGAGTGATACACTGGCTTTATGTAGACAACTGTTTTTCAATTACAGATATGTAACCTAACCAGATTGTATCCACTAAAGGACAACCCACAGCCTTTATAATTCAGCCGGGTGGCCCTGCTGTGCTGGATTATGTACATGTACGCGATCCAGCATTTCCGGGTAGAGGGTGCGTGCCTGCTGTCCGATAAGGGGTGTTGTTCAGTACAGAGCAAGTCAGTCAGCATGTCCCTACCAATGATTTATGGCTGGGACCTTCTGATCACCTTAGCAAATCACAGTACAGAGCCCAGTGGTTACTAACAATGCAGGGCAGCAAAGATGTGGCTGTG